AAAAAAAAAATTCAAATAAATAAATGAAGGGAAAGAAACCAGAATATTAGGCTATCTTATTCTTTCCTCCTAGGTTTGCAAATTTTGTGGATTTTAACCCTAATGGTACATGCATAGCATCGGCAGGTTCTGATCACACCGTGAAAATCTGGGATGTAAGAGTAAACAAGTTGCTTCAGCATTATCAAGGTAACAATTTCCATGACAACAAAATCCAGCTGATGCTAGGCCTCTTCCAGGAAACTCTTAAGCTGGCAGCCCATGCTTCTCAGTGTGGTTTGACCCTCTTAAAGAGTCAGGGGGCTGCCTTTGAACTGACTGGAGAACAGTTAGTTCCATCAACAGCATGGTCTGAGAAGTGTCAGCCTGTAGAGGGAGGTGGGGGGACCTTAAAAATGATGCAGGGCTGTGAAAAAATAAGTTGCTGTGAGCTGTTCACAGGTTGGCTCTCTGCATATTGTGAGAAGTCTGGGATAGAAATGGACCCTGAATTTGAAATCAGAAGGAGTTCTGTGAGCACAAGTAGGTGTTAACAACTGGTGGAAAACAACATCCGACTGGGCCTGTGTATTGAAACTAGAAATGAATTGATTTCTTGGTTTGTACTGGATTTATATTAAATTCACATTTCCCTTTTAAACTAAGTATAAAACTTACCATGGAGCAGACATTGTGCTAAATCCTTACAACAACCCTGGGAAGTATTATTATTATTATTGCTCTCATTTTAAAGATAAGGAAATTGAGGCTTAAGGAGAGTAAGTAACTTGCTAAAATAATTGATAGAACTAGCTTAGGGTTTTCTGTTTACAAAGTACGTGGAAGAACAGCCGTCTGATGGCTGTGTCGTGCTGCCTCCTGTTGGAAAGATGGTGTCCAGGAATACATTCTTAGACAAGCTAGCAAGACTATGCACTTCTGCAGATAGACCTCCACACTCTTCACCCCCGAGCCTCAAACCACTAATGGGTTATGAAATTTCGTTTAAGGCTAGGTTGTATGTGAGCCGGTGGCAATCCACTACTGGTTGTGTTATATTGATAAGGTACCTGAAGAGTTCACAGTTATGTGGTTAGCGAGCTCATCTTTCCATGACACGCTTCCACTCTTAAAGCTATGCTGTCTCATTAGCTGGAAGTTGAAGCTGAATGATGGCAAGCTGCTTACTTGTTTTAGTGAGCTATATGGAATTTTGGTGTTGTGGAGACATTGTCTTTAACTGATTGTTGTTTCCAACCTAATATTGCTAATAGGGGCAAAGAGACATCTTTAGAATTAAAATTTGTTCTCTGAACTTTTTGCTTTTATTTTCTATGAATCAGTTCACAGTGGTGGAGTTAATTGTGTATCCTTCCATCCTTCGGGCAACTACCTCATCACTGCTTCTTCAGATGGCACACTTAAGATTCTGGATCTCTTAGAAGGAAGGCTCATATATACACTTCAAGGACATACGGTATTAACACTAAGATTTGTGCTTTTTAAATAATATATATTTTAAAGTGTTGATCCATTTTATTATATATCTTTATTATCTTTCCAGGTGTAACACACATTACCGCTATCGCACACACAAAATATGTTTGCTTTCAGGGCTTTGTTTTTATCCTCTGGAAGCAACTCTTAGAAATACTACTTATTGTAATTCTTATCAAAATCACTGTGCATCTTTCAGTGGCCATTAAATTAATCCTCCACTGCTGTCTTCCTCAGTATGTAGTGTAGGTTTGACTGGTCAGATGCCGACAGGTAAGCGTTTTCCTTACTTCTGATCTTTCCCCTCCTGTGGAGGCTGTGTCCCATAGCTCTGACACTGTGCCTCTCACCCTCTCATGCACTGCTTTTCATTAATCTGATTGGTGAGTTTAGAAGGAGAAAGTCAACAAGGAGAGCCCAGTGCCTTCTGTTAGGAGCCTGTCCTCAGTGTTTTTCTCTGATATTTCTTGTGGACATGCCTGCCCTTGTCCGGTCTTGCCTGTGACAGGGTACTCAAATGTGACTCATTCTGGGATTCAGTTCTTCAGCCCATTTGCGCACAGATAAAGCCACATTTTGTCTTTACAAGCCTTTATCAGTAAGAAAGATGACATTCCTATGCGTTAATTTTTGATTTAGAACCCAATGAGGAAGAGGCTTGCTCTTTATTGAGCCTGTTCAATCACACACAACAGACACACACACACACACACCAGCGTATAATGCACTAAATAAAAACTGTTTTTAAGTGTATAAACTATTCCTCCTTTCTGGGTAAATATTCAAACTTCTCTAAATTTTTTAGAATGCATCCTGCATCCTCTTTTTTTTTTTTTTAAAGATGTACTAGGTACTTCCTTTTAACCAAGTGTGAGCTGTTTATCTCCAGAAATAGAATAGGCTTTGAGAAGGGGTTCTGTCTGCCTTCATATATCCTGCCTGGCTTCCTGCTTTGCTTTATCATTTGTTCTGCAGCTGTGTTAGAGCAAAGCAGAAATAGACACTAACCAGCTCAGATATATGTGTATCCATGGATTTAGGCTGAATAAACAACCAATAAAAGTGGTCAAGGATTAAAAAATCCATGGAATAATATAGAATAATAATAATAATAATACAGAATAATAGAAAAAATATAATATTTTAGGAGAAAAACAGTGTACACAAAGATGGAATTTTTCATGGTCTAGAGTGAAGATGTTTAAGGGGCTATAATAACCTAAGTCTGTGTGATGATCTACTTGAAAAATACAAAATGGTTTCCCCCCCAAAGTTTCCTTATACTGATCAAGGACATTAAGAACAAACAATATACTAATATTTTTGAGATGAGAAAGAATTATTCTTATCTTGACTGAAAAATTGACCTAGAGGCTATGCATCTGTGATTTGTCGCAACTCCACAGTCATTGCTTAATTTCAGGTTCTCACTACCTCTCACCTCGATAATTGCAGTAATTTCTTAACTGGCTCCAACCATTAATTCTTGCTCCCATTCATCATTCTTACAGTCGTGATCCCAGTGTTCCACAATCCCAACTTTCCACCTGCTGTGTCCTGCTGGCAAAACTCTCAGTGACTCACTATTGCCCACATGAAGGGAGAGCTCGGTAAAGCCCGTTGTGGTCAGGAAATAGCCTTTGTTCATATCACCTTACAGACTTGTCATTCAGTTTCTGCTAGTGATTTGTTGAATAAAGAGTCCAAAACCAGAAAATCTTAATAGACATTCTTATTCACTTACACATGTACAAGCTTTTCTTTAAATGGGAAGAAAGTGTTATTTTCATATTTTTGTTAGTATTGCTTTTTTTATCTAGTATCATTTATAAGTGTTTTAATATCATGGGTTGGTTCCTTAATTATCTTTACTCTGCTTACATTAGTTGGCAGCGACTGGGTACGTTCCATCAGACTTATTGCATAAATTGTCTATGTAGATTAGGATGAAAAATTCATACAGTCTTTCTGGCCATGAGAAAACAATACGAAGTGCTTTTTTTTTTTTTTTTTTAATCTCTGTTTATTTCTTAGGGACCTGTCTTTACCGTTTCATTTTCAAAAGGTGGAGAGCTGTTTAGCTCAGGAGGTGCAGATGCGCAGGTTTGTAAATCTTTCAGCTCCTTTGATTTGGTGAGGGTAAAGGCTAAGATTCTTACAACCAGCTCGTTTGTAGTTGTTAAGATGATTATCAGTGAGTTTATATTTTACTTTCATGCCAGGAAGTCTGCTGTCTCATAGCTGAAATAGTGCCAGTTCTGACACTTTCTGGAACTCAAACTCCACTTATTTCTTGTGCTCATCTCGACACTTAATTGTACTTGGAATTTACTGACTTCCTAGTGCTGGTGTGGCGCTTCCACCTGAACTCTTGCCTCACCTTTTATCTCTAGGTCATGTTTTTCAAATGATAAGCTCCTTGAGGATGGTAAATATAAATTGTTCATTTAGCAAATCTGCATTTTTGGGGAAATGACCAAAAGTCATTCATAGGCAAATGTATTGAATGAGGTGGACCATCAAGCCAAGAACATGCTTTGAACTTTGAAAACATCAGAGAGGATTTTAAAGTAGTAAGTTATTTTCTTAGTATGAATTTTAAATTGGACATGAAGGCCATTCAAAGTGCTAAATCTCTCCCTCCCACCCTTAAAAAGGTAGTATTGGGAAGTAGTAGCACTGTTGAAGTATACATCTAGCCTTCCTGACTATTTTGAGGCACAATTATGTAAACTGTTTTTTTTTTTTTTAAATCAGTTCTGTTGCTTTTACGTGCAAGTCAGTTTTAAGTGCCAACATATTAATTTTTTATAGGTCTTATTATGGAGGACTAATTTTGATGACTTGAATTGTAAAGACATGATTAAAAGAAATCTCAAAAGGTTACATTTTGATGCATCACCACATCTTGTCGATATATACCCGAGGACACCACATCCCCATGAAGGGAAAATTGAGACTGTTGAAGTGAGTACTTTGCACCTAGTCATCCTCCTGTTTGCAAGTGTATGTTTTGGGGCGATTGGTCAACTAGATGCTTGAAATCATACTTTATTATATAAAACCTAGTTATGTCTTAAAACCGCAGTACTTTGAGAAACAATTATTTTCACTAATATAATAACACTATAAATAATGATAGTGTACAATTCTGTTGAAGCTTCTCAGATTTGCTGCTTGAAGGCCTGGAAATAAAGCTTAAAAATTGTGTCAATGATAATAGGAAATGAGAAATCAAACCTAAGACCTCCGGGTGACCGTGAAGCCTGAATTACTTCATATTCTTGATGTGTTTGGGCAGCATCTGTGATGGCTATCATGAGAACAGGGCTGAAAGGCAAGAGTTTTTATAACAGTTCCTGGAATAGGTATCTTAAAGCCTTTTTATGACCCAAAAAAAAAAAAAAAAAATCTGTGGACAGTACGAAGAAGAGATTTAGGCATTAAACCTAATCATTGAGACCATTTTACTATTTGCCTACTTTGCCTACATATATTTTCAAATATATAATTATCTGTTTAGCTGTAGGTTTTTGTTGACAGGTTCCCCTAGGTCCTGTAGATTTAAATGTTCTACTCTTTGCAAAGGCAAAATTCATCTTTGCTGGATACTTGGCTGGTGTTTGTTTGTTTCTTTCCATTTTGCGTGATTCTTCTTAAGCCCCTTTCTCTTCCAAGAGCTGATATCGGAAATCACTATTACCTATTTATCTGAATTGTTTTTTCGTCATCAACAGAGCCTTGCTTTGCCTTTAGAGTAGCTATTTTGAGTCCTTAACACTCCTGAGTGGCAGCTCAGTCACCCCACGCACTGTTTATGTGGTGGATCCACATTCCCTTCCACGGTCCCTGTGTCTCCACCGCAATCTGTTCTTTGATTTTGGTTTCTGTTAGTCACAGTGTGTGTGTGCGTGTACGTGTGTGTGTGTGTGTACACATTTAAGGTTTTAAAACTTTTTTAAGTTTTTTGGATTATTTTCTAGATTTTGTTTAGCCTCGTTTGGGGATTTCTGTCCTAGTTTTTTCTTGGTGGTGTTTATTTTCAGTTCTTTGTTATAATTTTTATCCTGCCCATCTTCTGACCATCTTTCTAGTTCTTCTAAACAAAGTATTTACCATGTGCTTTACTACTTCTTTGTGCTGTTATTGTATCATCATGATTATTGTATCTTTTTTTTATTTCTTTGAAAGAAATAATGTAACGTAATTTGTGGTTCATCACATTTTTGTTTTAGTTCCTACAATGATAGATGCATTTGTGGATTCCCTGTGATCACATGTGTTCACATAATGTATATGTGAAATATATTTTAATTTAAGTTCTGTTTTCTTGTTTTACCCCAGCTGGTTTTATTGACTCGTGGTGTTTTTTATTCTAGCATTTCTGGGGCTTGGGTGGGCTTGACCCTCAGTGTTGCTGCTGCCCTGTCACCCACTCAGTCACCTTTCCAGAGTGGTGGGGGGTAGAGCTGCAGGCTGAGCCCAGGTCTCCTGGCTCCTAATTCAGTGATATTTCCATGATACCACACTACCCCCGCATTAGACTCCCAATCCATTTTCTCTGTGATTTGCTGTCAGCCCCAGTCCACTTAAGAGTGCTGGACTTTCTTGAAAATGTCAACAAGTTGTCTGAGAAGCTTGGCTCTGACAGAACAGCCAGAAAGCAATAAAAGCAGCTGGGTTGCTTTGCTTGGCTGGGTCGAGATGACCCAGGCCATCCAAAGTCACTCTCAACCATAATTTTCACATGTACACTTGAAAAATCTATTAAAAACCAACCTTTCATCCTGGAATTAGAGTTCTGTTATCCTATACAGAATGTTGAGCATTGTGACTGAATTATGTTTGTGGCCTTAAGAATGGCAGCCTCTGTGTACCCAGTTTAAATTATCTGTAAAGCACTCACGGTTGCTTCAATTAAGTACGCAGTATAACGTATATTTGTAAAACATCTTCAGATCATGTGATATAAAATGCCAGAGAAGTGACAGGATGCTGCATATGAACAATCAACTGTTTGCTTTTTTTTTTTTTTCCTAGAAAACTCTTATACTAAAACAAGGGTGTTAAGTTTTCTGGACAGAGGACAGCTTTAATATTACAAATAAATGTTAAGTATCAAATTTTTTTAAAGGCTCCAAGTTAATGTCCAAGGACCCCTCGTAGAACCAAAAGACTATTAGTTTGAAAATATCAACTAGAATGGAAGAGGATGAATCACTACTATGTCCGTTTATGATCAGTACATTTTACTTTGAACTACTAAATTTGGTGGGTTCATTTTTTTTTTTCAAAGGTTTAGGCAAGGTCAGTTTATACATACTTGGGAAATATTTGAAAATTAGAAAAAAACTTTTTTTTTGAGATCAGAATTCATGATTAACAGTATAAAAAGTATTATTAAAAGATGTAGAAAAAAATGGCTCCCAAATGATCTAGTTAATTTCCCTAAGTTGCTCTTTTTGTAGTAACCATGAGTATTCCATTTCTGAGTTTGAAGCAACCTAGTATTCCTTTGGTTTACATTTTTGTGTATTTTCTGTGAGGCTCATTTGAGTGGCATAATCTCAATCTTCTGGGTGAAATCGTTTGGCCTTTTGTGAAAGCCACCTATTTGCCAGCTTAGGTGCTTTGCTTGTTTGAAGGTGGAGTCTTAGACCTTGGGTTCCAACTGAGGAAATAAGTAAATTACTAATTCTTACATGGATAGAGAGGGTGATAGCAGCTTGCTTTTAGAATAAATGAAAGAAGGCCACATGAAAGAAGGCATGCAACATACAGTCCCAGCACCAGCGGCGTGAGCTGTGTCCTTTCCACTGATCAAACTGCAGGATCCTTTGTTGTAGCACTTCTGGTCTGCGCATGCCATCTTTTTTTTTTTTTTTAA